GGATGTCACAGCATCCTTACTCTCTTTCTCCTTAAAACAACTCTCTTCCACCTGTGTTTTCACATCTCTCAGAGCACTCAGCTCACTAGCCTTCTCCCCATGCAAGACTTGTGGTTGCCTTCTTTTCAGCCGGCCCACGTGTATCACTTGAGACTTTCCCTTTCGACCGCAACGTACCCTGTAGGTTACATATGTTAACTTGGTGAATATCCGAAAAGGTCCACGCCATCTGCATGATAGCTTGTGACTTAGTCCAATCTTCACATTTGGGAAGAACACAATCACTTCTTCTTCTGACTTGAAGCTTTCCCACGACAGCTTCTGGTCGTGGTTCCGTTTTTGTCTCCGCACGGCTTCAGTGGTATTTATTCTTACCAATCTGTGAGCATACTCCATGATCTCTTTGAGTTTCCACGCCCACTGACTCTGTGGAATCGCCTTGACGTTCATGGGCATAGCGTACTGGATTTCTAATGGAGTGCGTGTTTCTCTTCCTAGCATCATGAAGTTGGGTGTACATGACGTGGTCTCATGTTCTGCTGACATATAGGCCATCATAACGCAGGGGAGGTGTTGGTCCCAGTCCGTCTAGTGGTCATTGACGAAAGTTCTAAGCATAGACACCAACGTCTTGTTGAACCTTTCGACCATGCCATCGGTTTCTGGTGGTAAAAGGTTGTGCGTGTCTTGCGTATCTGGAGCAGCTTGCACATTTCATTAAACAAGGCACTTTCGAATTGAACACCTTGATCCGAGTGCACCATGTTGGGAACACCAAAGCGACAAATAACTTCTACTAGTAGCCTCGCTACGGTTTGAGCCTCCATGTTGGGAATGGCGTAGCTCTCGGTCCATTTGGTGTAATAGTCAGATATCACCAAACCATGTCGGTTCCCATAATCGGTTACAGGTACATTTGTAGTTCACATAATATGTCAATCGCTATGCGCTCCATAGGAAATCCAGTTTTTACTACCTGCATCGAAGCTCTCTTAGTCTGACTAGGTGTTTTCCCTCTACAACATTGCAGACAGCCAGCTACATAGCGCCTCACATCTGCTTTGATTCCTGGCCAATAAAATGACAGTCTAATTTTGGCCAGGGTTTTTCTCAGGCCCAAATGTCCAGCAGTCCTATTGTCATGTGTATGCCCTAGAACAATTATAATTAGTTATTAGGCTGGAGCCCGGAACGGTAGCCGTTACTTCGTTGATGCCGCCCCGACAGCCCGGGCTTTTACCTGGGGCAGTACCCCCTGTCCCCCTAGCCAAACATGAAATAGAATGTATAAAGATTACTAAGTTGAAGAAATTATGAAATTATGTTGAACATTGATTGAATTACCGCGATTTGAAATATGTAGAATTATAATTGGTTATTTGGCTGGAGCCCGGCACGGTAGCCATTACTTTGTTGATGCCGCCCCGACAGCTCGGGCTTTTACCTGGGTCGGTACCCCCTGTCCACCTAGCTAAACATGAAGTAAAATGTGTAAAGATTACTAAGTTGAAGAAATGATGAAATTATGTTGAAAATTGATTGAATTACCTCGATTTGAAACGGGTAGAGTTATAATTGTTTTTTTGGCTGGAGCCCGGCACGGTAGCCGTTACTTTGTTGATACCGCTCCGACAGCCCGGGCTTTTACCTGGGGTAGTATACGTACCGCGTGTACCCTAGCCAAACATGAAATAGAATGTGTAAAGAGTATACTAAGTTGAAGGAATTATGTTGAAAATTGATTGAATTATCTCGATTTGAAAGAAAACAAAAAATTGAGTTAATTTCATACATACTTGAGCCAGGGACACATCCCTGCTTGAGCTAATGAAACTGCATGGTGAAGGCCTGGGCGAACCCAATACTACATTGGTTTTAAGCAGTCCTGTATATGGTTGAGAAGTAACTAATTTCAAAACGACCTAACTATGTCAATAATTAACACATTCTTCTATTTTTACCACAGGTGTAATATATATGTCAGCAACTAATTAAGCATTGAACTGTTTTTGTATGGTATTTATGATCTATTTGAATGACACAGCTTTGCAAGCAAACAACATAATGCGCGCTAGCGCATGATGATTTGATTGCTTGCAAAGCTGTGTCATTCAAATAGATCATAAATACAATACAAAAACAGTTCAATACTTATATTTACGTTTTCTCTGCCTCTTATGTTCTTTTTTAACTTATAATTTATAATTAAAATTAAAAATGCCCGCCTTATCGACAGTCCACACAATTTCGTTCAATAGTTTGAACAGCGTATTGTCGCGTGCTGATTGGCAAACAAAGTAGTACTTTGACATTTTAACAAACACTTCAAATTTATTCCACAATTTAGTATCAATACAATTGCGTATGATATGTCTATAGGGTGATTCCAGTTT